CTTCGGGAGCCTGGGCGGCCCCGCGGGAGGGCTCCTCGGCCAGGTCCTGCGCCCAAGCGAGCGGGCAGAGCTGCTCGGTCTGTCGGAAGCGCTGCCTGTCGGGAGGGGGTTGGAGACCCGAGCAAATGAGGGTGGTGAAACAGTGGAAGAGGTTGCCCAGAGAGGTGGTGGAGGCCCCATCCCTGGAAGCATTCAAGGCCAGGTTGGATGGGGCTCTGAGCAACCTGATCGAGTTAGCGGTATCCCTGCTCCTGCAGGGGGGTTGGACTAGATGACCTCTAGGGGTCCCTTCCAACCCAAAACATTCTATGATTCTATGAAACCTCGCTGCTCTCTTGCAGATACCTTGCGATGTCCGGGTTTGACAGCTTCAACACAGACTTCTTCCAGACGAGTTACAGCATTGATGACCAGACACAGTCTTACGATTACAGTGGAAGACCGTACAGCAAGTAACTTGCGCATGCCTTTTGAACCCGTGTAACGTGTGTCTCCTGTAAAGCTGTTCAGTCGTGCTTCTTGAGCGACCAAGCCCGAGTTCAGATACTTCTGGGATAGTCTGTTTATTCAGAAAAGTATCCGCATTTCAGCCGACTGCTGTTGCCTGAGATTGAATTCCCGTTGCTCTGTTTTGTGAAGAGCGTAACTTATATCCTACAAAGAGTGATATAAAGCACATTGAATAATCTGCCTTCTGCGTTTTCAAGCAAAGATTAGAAAATTGAAAGAAAGGTTATATGAGTAATCTTAATTACATGAATAATCTTCACGTCTTTGGGAAAAGAAGTATCGTTCTCCAAGTCCATCTCCAGTCACTCAGGGAGTAAAAATTAGTTACAGCGTCACATAAATGAGCCTGCAATGTCAGCAGTGATTCCTAGGCTTTAGTGGGAAAGCGCAGCGGGCTCAGGGGAGCGCTCAGGAGCTCTTAGCTCTTTGTGAATATCCAGTCTCAGGCTGCGGGTTTGGTCAGTTATGTGACCTCTGTGATCCCTGCGGTAGATGGAGCAGGTCGATGCTTGTTTGTGTCCTGAAAAGGATTACAGTGCTGGGATGAGGCTGAACTCTGCTAACACATTTCCATAGTTAAATATTGTGGGCACATTTACTGTAATCTCTGTAGTCAAACTTGGAGGTGGTTAGCAGAAAGAATAGCTACAAGTTTGTGTAGGACCAGAAGGTAGCTTTGATTAGGCTTTTTTCCCAAGGTAGCAGTCTGTATTTTTATACATATAAAATCTATAATAGAAAGTATTCTACAAACAGTATAAATTGATTTGTTAGTAAATAATCGAGGATACATGAAATAAAAACTGAAAAATTGCTCTTTTTTTTTTTTTCCCCCTGCATCATGTCCTGTAGGTAGATGTCGTTATGTGTTTAATGCCCATATCGTAATTTCTCATGTATCGCAATGCTACCTGATACACATGGTGCCAAAGTGAAGGGGAAAACAGCTGCTTTTTTTTTTTTTTTTAAATCAAGCTCATTTTTAAAATATAGAGGGTAACAAAAGTGGTCATATAAGCAATTTTGTTCTCTAGCAGCGAGTTTGCAAATAAACATTCTAAATAGCAAATTAATGCTGGCATCAATTGAGATGGCAGTAGTAATTAATGGCCAATACTTGATGAAGTTTGAGATGTAAAATTTTCCTGCTCTTTTACAGGTCTACAGGCTGTAGTAGTAATCCAGTCAGTGGATAACACTCATTTCTCCAGGCTTCTGACTTAAAACCGTAAAGCAGTACTAGCATATATAGCAAGAGTTATCTTGTTTAGCACAACGGTATTGTTTTTAAGGGTTTGAATTAAGGGACATGGCTATTAAAAGGCCTGGATCTGAGCAGGGGATCATCTATTGTGACTTTTTAAAAAAAGAAGAAAGGATTGTTTTCTGCAACTTATTTACTGCAAATAAGGTTTTCTTTTGCTGGGAGGTGTTTAAAATAAAAGCCTGTATCTGTCTGTAATACAATGTCGTTCTTTGTAGGCAGTATGGAGGCTATGAATACTCTCAACAAAGTGGATTTGTCCCTCCAGACATGATGCAGCAGCAGCAGCCTTACACAGGGCAGATTTACCAGCCGACACAGACGTACACTCCAACTTCAGCACAGTCTTTTTATGGAAGTAATTTTGAGGATGAGCCGCCTCTGTTAGAAGGTACAAAACTCTTCCCATTTTGGGGATAAACTGAGTAGCAGGGTGTGTGTTCCCTACTTCTGAAAGTGCACGGTCGATTTGAAATTCTCATTAATTTTTTAAATTTAACTGTATTTTGGTGTATGAATTGCATGTTCTTGTGTGAACTTCTGCAGTTTTAGAAGTGTGCTTTATTACTTCATACCAGCTGTTCTGCAGGGGACATAATCAATTAAATGGATAATGTGACTTCGTATAGCCTTTATGACAAAACACTATTTCTGTTGTCACAAATAATACTTACAATTGCCCGCTTCTTGTAAAATAAATCGATGCAGTTAGTTTCAGTTGATTCTTTGGTTAGAACAGAAATTTTTCATTGCCAGAGAGGAATGCTAAACACTGCAGAAATTCCTATGCGGAATACAGACTGTGCAGAATGCCAGAACAGATATGTAATTATTGTCTGGATTGACGGTTTCAGTTTCCAGCTTATATCCATTGTCGTTCAGTGCCAAACAACTGAAGAACCCCTTACTGTTCCTGGTTAGAGAGATGGGTATTCATGACCGCCTATACCGATTCATGATACCTTCCACCCTGCTGTATTCTTCAAAAAAATTATTTCGCTTACATAGGTGTCTGAGTTGGGCAAAAAGGAACTGCATTCATAACTGGGTTTTGACGCACAACTGTGGTCAAACTGTATGGATGGAGACTTGAAATCATTTCTAGCTGGAGGGAGCTGTGAAACTCCTTGTCATGAGACACTGAGTGTTAAAAGGGGTGGGTGGCTTTTTTAGTGGGCTCGATGGCTGGTTTATGAAAGAGAAAAATCCACTGAGGGAAATGAAGTACAGAGAAACTACTTTGAATTAGAAACCCTTGTCCCACCAGTCATTGGAGACTTGCAGAAGCTGCATCTTCTGTGCTTATACTCTTTCATACATACCTGCTTTTGACCACTTACAGGGACAGGGTATTGGGCTAAATGAACTTTTGAGCTGACCCAGAACACTGCGCTTACGCTCTTACCTGGTCCTTCAGAAACCACCTTATCGCTTCCGAGCATTTGAGACCTGGAATCTGTGGAGGCAGCACACTCAGCAGCTTGAGGAAAGATGGAATAACTCAATTCTCTGGTCCCTATAGGGTGGTGTCTAGAGGAGATTTAAAAGTAAAGAGGCAGGGAAAACTAAGAGTGAAGCAATGGGGCAACAGGAAGGGAAAAAATGAAATAAATATATGCATAATTCTCTTCATGTAATTTGTAGAATTGGGGATCAATTTTGACCACATCTGGCAGAAGACACTAACTGTGCTACACCCATTAAAAGTAGCGGATGGCAGCATCATGAATGAGACTGATTTGGCTGGACCAATGGTCTTCTGTCTGGCTTTTGGAGCCACATTATTACTGGTAAGATATTGATGTTAAAATATTACTATTTGTGCTTTAATATGCTTGGAAACACTGGGGAAAAAAGCTAAATTACCTATAGGTTTATTGGAAGTGACTTCTTGGCATGGAGGCCAAAAAAGCACATCCTGGCTAAGAATTTGTAGCTGTGTGGAAGAGGAGGTGGGCCTTCACACACTGCTGTTTGAAATTAATGAGTTCGCTATTGCTTTACTTCAGTGCTTGTTTTTTGCATGGCAATTATTTCAGTGTAATTCATATTTCTTGTCATATTTTGCTTTTGAGCGATATGGCTCCCTTTTGTCCCAGGAATGGGTGTGACCCATGTTCTCAGATCTTTTACTTGTTTAGGGTTTTTTTTTTAATAGATTGAGATTTTTTTAGTTTCAGAATCATACCTTGTCTTTTTGCAACTTCTTTATTATCTTCTATCTTATCAGGAATCAGAACAATGGACACATTAAATGTTTGAATTTTTATTTCATTTCTTCATTTAGGAGTTTCTTTTATTTTTTAACTCCTGTTGTATTTAATATTTGAGTTTATTTCTCTGTTTTGTTTCCTTGTATTTCTTTGCTCCATGCTCGTTATTCATTGTTCTCTCCTGATATTCAAGAGGCAAGGAAACTCAAAATTCATGAGTAAAAAGTGATTTTCTAAGTACTGAGACATCAGGCATGACTTTCAGTATCAAGAGTCAGTCTGGTAAAACACTTCTGAAGTAAACCTGCTTTCAGATTTTTTTATACTTCTTAATATGTCAACAGCTGTTGAAGCCTGGTGGTTTTTATTTTAGTTGAGCTTAATTGAAATAAGCTTGTGCTTTAATGACTCAAAAGTGTCAATTATGAAATGAGAGTAGCAGCAAACAGTCTTCCTTGTCATTGAAAGCTTCAATATTTTTAATCAGTTTTTTTCTCTAAATGTCTTCAGGCACTGCGTTTAATTTTTGCCTGAAATTTCACATTGCTGCAATGCTTAGGACACAGTGCTTTGGTACCAAGGGGACTTTAAGCCTACTTTTATAAGTAACCTTTATTTATGGAAACTAGGCCAGTAGAATTAATGAACAAGTTTGTAATAGATACATTTGAATGTTCTTTTCCTAAGAAATTATTACTTTCTTCTGTGTGGTTTTTTTAAATGCATTTGAGTGTAGTGAAAGAAAACAAGCTTAGCCTAGCAAAAAGGTTAAAGCAGATCTGATTGTTTTCTAAAGCACTTGAGGAAAAAGAGAGCTGGGTTGTAAGTAAACTTAGTCTGGAAGCTGGTGGTGGGAGACAGACCTCGAAGCTGCACACCACCGTAGCTTCAGTAACTGCATGGTCCCATGTTCCTGCAGGGGTGGACATGATGCATTGTGCACGTTTTTGATAGATGTTATAAGGGAAGCAGTGATCTCATTGTTGGAAAAACATGGTGACTTAGGATATGTACCTTTTGAAATAATGTGTGTATGCTTTCTACATACTTGTTAGCAAGCAAAATTCTGATTTTGACTTTTTAAAATAAAATCTACGTGAGTTAATTCTGCTGTTCATATACAGTGCTTTGCAGCTCATCTTCAGGTGTTTCTGGGAATTTTTCATAATTTACCTTTGTGGAGTCTATCACAAATTAAAGGATTTAAGTTCTGGATTAGTCAAGAAGTTGTTCCTGAATTACAATTTTTTTTTTGGTCTTTATACACTAGTTTTGTAAAGATTATTATTATTGCAATCAATTGGTATGAGAAGTTAGGGGATTAAACCCTAAAGAATTCATAGGCTTTTGCAGCTCAGATGAAATAATAACAATTTGATCAAAATCTGCTCATCAAGATAGGTAAAGTTAGGATCAATGTGCCTCTTGGGTGCCTAGAATATACAGGTGTTCTGGAATTCAGGTTGTGGGAAAATACTGCCTGCTGAATTTGAATATAGGAATTGGGTGTGGGGGACAACAGGGAAAAGGAAGATGCTCTGTAAACATTCTTTCCTTTTCCCTTTGTTTGTGGGAGGCATTGCTTGTTCTGGTAACTAACATGCATTCCTCTGCTTGACTTTCAGGCTGGTAAAATTCAGTTTGGATATGTGTATGGAATAAGTGCAATCGGATGTTTAGGGATGTTTTGTCTCCTGAACCTAATGAGCATGACGGGTGTCTCGTTTGGCTGCGTTGCCAGTGTCCTTGGATACTGTCTTCTTCCTATGATCCTACTTTCCACTTTCGCAATTGTATTTTCGTTGCAGTAAGTACATAGACTTTGCAATTTGGTAATAGATTCCTCTCCTGTGAGATGGTGAAGGAAGTTATTAAAAGGAATTTTCGTATTCAGTGATGAAGCTGCATGTAACTTGAATATGACAGATTTGTAGTAAGTGTAAAAACAGGAATGTCAACATCTTCAGGTATTTACTGGATGAAAGATAGGTGAATACTGAAGAAAATCAATGTGCTTACTCATGAAATTAGGGACTGAAAAGCAAGAACTTGCTACAGTTACTTTACTCACCACTTTTACATTTCATATGCACAAAGTAAATTTCGGGGGTTTTTTTATGCTGTCATAATTGAATAAGAACATTCTGAAGTCTTTACTGGAATTATTTAATTTAAAAAGTCAAAGACGGAAGCTAAAATTCATCTTAGAATCTGTAAAAGGTGTTACAAGGAGTTCAGTTACAACTCCCATAAGCATGTATACACAAGTCTTACATGAATTCTCTTTTCATTTCTGTCTTTGTAGGGGAATGATGGGGATTATTCTCACGGCTGGAATCATTGGCTGGTGCAGCTTTTCTGCTTCCAAAATCTTTATTTCTGCCTTAGCAATGGAAGGACAACAACTTCTAGTAGCATACCCCTGTGCTTTATTGTACGGAGTCTTTGCTCTCATTTCTGTGTTTTGAATAGACTGTCCAAACTGTTGGACTCCAGTGGGCCAAAATGAAAACATCAACTTGGAACATTTAGTTGGACCAGAAACAGCTGCAAACAACTGTATAGTGTTGCTATCACGAAACTTAGACCTGTTTTGAATCATCTGGAACAATGAAAACAAATGTCTCGTGTTCACTTTTTTAGGACTTTGAATACCGTTTTCAAATGACCTGAGGTGTCTATAGCTTTAATAAGTGTTCATGCTTATCAAGTTAATGTAATTTCTTTCCCATTCCTGTATCTTTAGAAGAGTTACTCTTGGTTGTTTACTTGAGAGTTAGGGTTTTGTGTTTGTGTGTTGGTTTTTGTTGGTTTTTTTTTTTTTTGTTGTTTTGTTTTTTTTAGGGGCGGGATAAGGTTTGCAGTTATAAATGGATAGATTTTAATTGGCAAAAGTTAACAGAACTGCAGATGCCATAGATTTGGGGTACTCTCTGGATAAATCTGCATTAATAAAGAACCTATTTCCTGTCCCCTCTTACCAAAACCAAAATGCACAAATGAACACAAGCAATTAGAGTATTTTCTATATTTTAACAAATATACTCTTAAGGTCTTTGGTCTCATTTATTTGTTCATTTGATGTGATAGTATTTCAGGATTTAAGATACATAAATTACGAATTAGAAAACAGATGCTTAAAAGTTAAAGGGATCTGTAATTCTGTCACACTTGAAATATGAGTACATTTGGATGTCTAAGTAGCTATATGTTAACTTGGATTTCTGAAGATGACTTCAACTAGAGTTTCTTTTCCTAATGGTGCACATACTAGTAGATGAAGAGTAATCTCTTTTGCAGTACTTCCAAGGAAAACACCATTTTGAAAATGTTATGCTTGTCAGTATTGTAGTTACTGTAAAATAATTTAAGGCGTATTGATTAAATTTTCCTTAAATTTTGAAAAAGGTGTTTGATTCTTATAATCTTTCTTTTCTAACAGAGTTCAGAAACTTCAGTATTGAAGCAAAATTATATTTAAATATTTAATAAAACTGTATTCAGTTAATGGATTTGATACTTGCTCTAGTTACAAATACTTAATCCTACATGAGAATTACCATCTAGTTTGTGGTGTTAGTCACTTACAAGAAGTCTTAGAAGCGTAAGAAGTGGGAAACCTAAAAATGCTTCATATAAGCACTTGCTAATTCTTAAAATAAGCAAGAAAAGGATACAGGCATTTTTAACTCATTCTGGGGAGGGAATGTTGCTTACCTGGATAGTAATTCCCTGCCCCTGCCTTGGAAATGAAAAAGTGCTAAAAAAGTGCTAGTTTATAACTACCGTTTCTTCAGCAATTTAATCCAAGGGATTTAATTTCATTGAATTTACCACAGGTGTTAGTCTGATGTGCATCTGTGACGTCCGTGGAAGGATCTCTTCGTAGGCTTGAGGAGTTGAGTCACTGGTCAGAGGTGTGAACACCTTCTGGTAGGACTCAGCTTGCGAATGCATCTCCAAAGGAAAGCTTTCATCCTGCTGGTATGTGAATGAATAATTCCAAAGGCTCGGCACACGTTTCTGTTAATTCCCTTATTCTGCACGTTCTCCTAAAATTACCTTCCTAGTGCCACTAGAAGCTACTGAGAAGGCCCTTTGTTAGTGAGAGCCAGCTTTTGCGTGTGTCGCTGGGTGCTGTGGGAAGTGTCATAGGAGGGTAAAAGCCTTTAAGAACCAAACACTGATGCACAAAACCATTCTGACTTGCGTTATGTACTGTAACTGGCTGTCACAGTGAATTTTAAAACACACACGCATAAAAACCCTTCAATTTCCTTCCAGAAGTGAATTCAGGAGCCCAGATAATTTTCTACTTTGATGTCTTATTACAAATTATCATCCTATATAAAAGTGGTGAGTTGGTTTTTATTTAGCAAAATGTTTTATTCTGTACTTGGTAGTTCTGATTTCTTTGGTTTAGTAGACCGCATCTGCCCTGGTGCACAAAGTTCTTACTCCTTTTACTGAAGAACATTACCTGCTGATGGAGCATGATGTCCTGTATTTGTGCAAATAAATTATGGTGATTACCTTTACTAATGAGGCCTAATTAAATACAGAATTGCTCTAGTAAGTATAAAAGCTCACATACTTTCTTGAGCACATCAGGTTCTAATACTCAAATATTGTATTTTTGTGAAGCGAGCTAATTAAGCTTACCTTGCATAAACAAATGAGGTTCATTTTTTAAAGTTTGCACTGATTCTCTTGATAGCTTCCAGGGTGGTTTACTGATGTGTGACACTTATTTATAACCTTTTCTCTCATGAGCAAACCAAGCGCACAGGAAAAATGTTAAGATTAGCTTGTCTCAGTGTAGCACCAGCCATACAGCTGCTGAGTTTGGCAAGACCATATGAAAAGGTATTTCACGTATGTTCACAAAGTTCCTGCTCTGGCAGTAGAGGATACCACATGCTCTACTCGAGCAGCGAGGTTTGACCAGTGAGTTTCAGGAACATTTTGTTTTCTTCAGCTCACATTGTGGAGAACTTAGCAGTGAATTTCTAGCTGGACTCTTAGGGGCAGGAGAGAAACAGATGCAAGTAGAAGGTCAAATACTCTTAATTCATAGAGGACTTCATAAAAATGCAATGTTATGTCTAGACTGGTAGTCTCAAATATCCCCAATTTCTGGTACATCACATTTAATGTGATTCCATTGACCATGTTTATTGCCTTTCCAAAATCAATTCCATTGATTTTCTGTAATAATATTTTGTCCTAGACTTGCTTCAACTTTAGTTACATTTCAGATGATTTAATCTTGCCATCACATAGAATGACAAGATTATATGCTGTAATTCTTTACTCCCACCTTTGCCTTTCACGTTTAGTAGGACTTTTTTTACTTTCTAAATCTGAACTCTCCCCCACAGTCTGTTGACATCAGTATTCTCATCTAGTTTTCAGATGAAATACATTACTTGCTTCCATCCTACATTGTCTCTTGACAATTTCGTGTTACTCAGTTTAAAGCATTGGAATGTGAATGCTGATGTTGCTTTTTTTAAAACTGCTTTTCTTATCATGCCCAATCTTGAAATTACTTCCTATTCTGCAAAAGTTAAGTTACTTTTCCCAGTTTGTCCATTTTTTGTTTAAGTTTGTCGATGTTTTGATAGTGACTTTTTCAGATCACTTGTTTTGCTATGAGGCAGCTGCTGACTGTAGTTGTTTTTTTCTATAGGCAACATTTCTGTAAATATCAACAAGTTACATGGCACATCCTTTAATAAAAAACACGGTTTTTTGGTGCTTTTAGGCCTTTCATCTGTGTGCTGGTGTTCTTGAGGGGCTGTTACTTGTTTAATGATGGATGAACACCTTTAGAAGCCACAGAGAGCAAGGACTGATTTGGTGTTTTCTGTGAAGCCAGATGTTCCTCCATCCTCATGGCTGGACAGGAGCATCCTGGATTTGTATGGGGAGCCGCAACATCGCTGTGCACCAGCATTGCTTGTGCTTTGCCCTGCCTACTCTCCAAAAATCTTACTTCCATAGAGTTGAGCGGTCCAGACTGGCTTACTGTAGAGGCCCCTCGTTCAGGTCTGTAACAAGAAGCTGGAGTACCCTTGGGCTTCTCTGTTTTGCTAGATAATCTGTGCATGAAGGATCTGGGACTGTCGCTCCTCTAGGGACCGATGGTTGCAGTTGGGCACGTGCTTTGTGGTGCAAAGGCTGGGCTGGTCACAGCCTGAGAGCACTCAGTGGGAGGGAGTCACTTGCTAGTGCACTAACGGTGCATTAGTTCGTATCAGTACCATTGTTTAAAAGTTTGTTAATGCTTTTTAGGAACCACTTTGGCTAAAAGAACAGCCAGCACTTTGGGGTATAACATTCGTTATACCACAGAAGCAGGGTTTGCAAAAGAGAGAGCATGTTTCACTATGCCAGTTGATTTACCTAGATGAGCTTTCAGTCTGTCTTCACTGAGATGCTTTGGAGTGTGTTGTTAATGTTACCTGCTGCATCGTAACAAAAAAAGGAAGGAATGGAGCAACTGGGGCTTGCTGTTTCCTGCTTCTCCGCTGGGTGGGCCTGCAACACATCTGATGTACTACGATATCTCTGTACTGTGATGCTTCTGATACACTGTAAGGCAGGGCTCGGGGCTGGCACAGCTCAGCATTGGGAAGCCGTTCCGCTCCTTGCTTGTCTCCCACAACATCAATAGCAATTACATTTCCAGGTAGTCAAACCGCTAATGTTGTCAAGCTGGGTTTCTGTTCCCTGTAACGGGGAAAGGATTCATTTCAGTCGTGGCCTGTCAAATTAGCAGAGATGCTGTGTGTGCTGGGTAGCCCTCCTGGCAACAGTGAACCTTTGCTACATTTCATTCTTTGTATAAAGCTGTAATATTTCTGACCAGCTGTGTTGTGGTTGGTTTTTTTTTTTTCTCATTACCGGGAAGTCTCTTCGTTTTCTGTATGCAGTCAAAAGCACATCAAATTATCTTTGTCTGGGTAATTCACTGCCTTTCCAACTGTTGGGTGATAGAGACAGACAAGCTCTTCCCTCGTGTGGATCACATTGTGTTGCAGAACTGTCTCGGTACCTTTTGTCCATGTAAGTTGACACATCCTTCCTTTGCTATACTTTTAAAATTTATTTAAATAGCATCCCTCTCAGAATTAAAACAATTTATTTAACACAATCTATGGGATTAGAAGAGGTTTTAAAATATTTTTTGTTGTTTAGAAGTTGCAAGCCCTAATATGTCAAGATGTGAGGACCTCAGATTACTTATTGTGGTTATCCTTGAGTGTCCTGTGAGATGGGGAAGTTCTGATGTCCTGTTTTGTAGGTGAGGGATGGAGTAAGGAGATGTATGTAATTTGTGTGAGTCCTGCGGCATTTGATCACCTTTATGCCAGCAAAACATAACAGGGTATTTCTCCAGGGGGGGAATTCTCAGTCCAGCTCTCTGGGACACACAGTTTGAAAGTGGGAGGAGGTTTTGTAATTGGAAAGTCTGTTGATTATGTTTGGCAGCTTTGTGCTTTCCTAACCAAAGCCAGCAGGCCGTTAGCCAAACAGCAGTCCATGCTTTGGGAAGGACTGCAGGCATTGTGCTCTTAAGGGCATTTTTTTTCTCCTATTATTTCTTTGCTTTATTGCAGAAAGTACTGACATTAGAGAAGCGAGGATTCTCTGGTCCTCATCAGGAATGGTGAAGTGGAAGATTGTCTAAAATTAGACACTACTCCTGGAATAGACCTCTCAAATTGTACTGTAATTATGTGTCTTTAGGAAGAAGGGCGTTGCTCTATTTCTTTACACACTAAACTCCACCACACCATTCTTGGAATTACAATGCTTTTACCATACACATTTCTGTTAATTTTTTCCCACTATTCCTGCTTTTCTGCTGTTAGCATAGGAAAATCAAATCTTCTTGTATACCTGACTTACCTGCTGATTTACCAGACCTATTTGCTTTTCAGTCATGGAATTTGCATCCGCTTTCATACAAGAGCTGCAGCCAAAGGTAAGAAGCATTCTGTGCTCCTGCCGGAAAGACGACCCCAGTTCCCATGAGCTGTCCTCTCTATTGCACTCAGCCACTGCAGTGACGTGAAGTTAGCATCAGGCTTTGAACCAGACCCTGCCAAAGGCACTCTACCTCTTTTCTCAAGTCCACAGAATAATGATTTACTGCTAAAGAGGTCAGGAAAAATTCCTTGTCTAGTCTGCCTGTTCCCTGGCACAAAGCTTTGGGTAGCTCCTGAGAGGAGGTGTGTTTTCCCCTTTGTAAATGTGTGGTTTGCATCTCATGTTGCTAAATTCATTACAGGAGGATATTTCACCTCTCGGATCTGCACAGGGTTTCCTCACACCCAGCTTGTCCATGGGTAAGCCTGTCAGGGGGAGGTCACTAGAGATACACAGTTTAATGATCCAGCTGAGCACTGGTCCCAGAACTTTTTGGCCAAGTCTTTGCAGGCCCATTGGCAGCAAGCACCAGCGAAGGCTTATCTTCAGCAGTTTTTATTAATCCAAACTCGAGGCCATTTGGACCTCAGGATAAAATCCAGACGTTCTTACTTGGGGCGTGATTTATCCCACTCTGGTGAGTGCCAGCTTCTCAGTTCTTTTTTTAGGCAGAATTCCCATTTCGTTCAACATGAGACTTAGCTGAATCAACAAGATTAATATTTGGCCAATAATTATGTCAGGCAAATCTGGATGAATGTCCGAATTTACAAATAAACCTGACAGGCTAGGACCCTTGGCTTGTACCTCTGCTCCTGTCAGCGTCAGACCCAAGCGATGCCCAGCCTCCCAAGCCCGCGCTCGGACTAGCTGCATCCGCAGAGAAAAGAATCTCCGTGTTGATAGATCAATGCCAGCTCCTTACCTTATAAATGTAAAGAGTCTGAAAAGTACGTTCATCGAGGACTTTTGGTTTAGTAAAGGATACAATCTGCAGAAGTGCAAATCCATCTTAGTAACTTACTGTATTAACCCGTTCATGTTCAATTACCCGAGAAAGCTGAAGCTCGTGTTGTCCCCGTACCATCAAGACAAACACTAAAGACTCATGACAGGTTATGGCGGATTTTAGTAAGTTCAGTGCCTTTTTGTTTATTTAATCTTCACTTTATTAATGTGAGTCAATCTTCTGATTGTTTTAGTGGCTAGTTCAAATGTTAATTGTCAATAGGAAAAGATAATCTAGCATCTTGGCAAGGCTCTGCTGGTAGTGTGGCTGCTTTACTGAATCACAGATGGAAACATTTAAATTCGGGATCATTTTCTCATTCCAGTGTTTTGTCCCAATTAAAAAATTACTGGTTCAGACAAGGTTAGGAGATCTGAAGAAGGCAGAGTCTGTACTTTACTGCCAACAGCAGATGTCACATTACTTGCCACTCTGCTTTCTTACAGATTCATTTAGCCAAATTCTGCCAAATACCCATGTGGTTTATTTTAAAAGCCCTGAGCCTGCAAGGTACTGAATTACCTTTAATCATTTTAGATAGGATTTGAGAAATTTCAACATTCCCCTTGAGGATACAAAGAGTGGTTTTTTATCTTTTGGAATAGGCTGTTCCAGGAAAGTCAGATGGGGTTCTCTGCACAGCAGATACACCATGAAACCACAGACTTCTGGCTAGCTTGTCACTGTCTCATCACTCTCGCTGCAAGATCGGTCTGATGGTCACTCTCTTGGAATTGGATCCAGATTTTCTGAAGTGAGGCCTCAGAACTGATCTCTGAAAACCATATGGTTGCCCTGTTTATCGCCCTCCTGTGAGCACTTAGTTTGGTTCCCCAGGGGAAGTCCCTTCCTCGGGGTCCCCTGTTACGGGGGTGGGGTGTGCACATGCACTCAGCGGTGAAGCCCCAGTTCACCGCTGCGGGAGAGCAGGCAGGACCCAGCACCCGGGGCTGAAGGCAGAGCCCTCTGCTGTGACACCAGTTTTCTAATGCCACCCATTGGATTAACACCCATGCTTTGTTCCCTTGGCCACCTCTGTGGCTGTCTCTCCAGTGCCCCCCGTGAAGGTTTCCGGCTCCCACATGCTCCTCTGCTCTCAGCTGGGGAAGGTCGGTCTGGATGGCCCCGGAGAAGTCCATCACCTGGTATAAAGACAAGATGAACTAATTTCTGACAGATAGGTCTGACCTGTCCTTTAAAACTCCAGCTGGAGGGAAATGACACAATCTCCCTTGAACACCTTGTCAGTGCTTTGCTAACTTTATGATTAGAAAATGGCCCATGATGTCAGGCCTATTTCTTCCTATTTCTTCTTCCCTTTAATGCACTTTATTATTACTATTCTATCCACAATAGACATGAAAGACAGCTTATTCTCTTCCTTTTGGCAGCAGCCTCTTACATAATGGTGAACTCGTTCTAATTTCCCCTGTCATTCTTCTCTTTTCTTGAAAAAACCTGTTTGACTACCCACTGCAAGTCCCAAATCCTCTTCTACAGAAATGCTACTGAGCCCATGGTTACCCGTCTTGTTTATAGGCATTGACATTTCTTCTTTAAAATAGCGTTGTGCACTGTACTCAATTCCATCTTAACAATTCAGACCGTTTCTCCAATTTATGTAGATCAATTTGAACTCTAATCCCATCTCCAAAGTGATTGCAGTGCCTTCTGCTTTGTTATCATCTTTAAATTTCATCCCCCAAGTTGATTAAAATAGTGAATAGTGCAGCTGAGGGTGGGGTATATTGCCTGCATTTAATACTGATGCAGTCATAATTTTGCTCTCACGTTTCAGCCTTTGTAGTAAATTTTCTGAACTGTGTTTCTTGTAAATCACGTTATCACATCTGTAAATCACGTTATCACATCTGCTGCTTCCCCGTCTTTAATAAGAGCAGTTACTTGTGGAAGAAGTTAACTAGGTTTTCCTAGTCTGCTTTCTCTTACAATTCCATATTGGCTGTTTCCTATCACCTTATTTTCTTCTATGTATGTACAGACTGATTCTTTTAATTATTTTCCAGCCTCCTTATAGGCACTAACATTTGTTCCTCACGTCCTCTTTTTAAGAGAGCTTTATTTGTCCCTCCGTAACTACAGCGTTCATGGCCCCATCTCTGCACTTGCCGCGCACGTTGTTAAGATGATTGCAGTTGGCCAAGCAATTGCTCTACCCAGTTCCCAGGGAATCCTCTAGTATCCTTTAATAATCCTCCACGGACACACGATTTACAGGAACAGCCTTAACCTTTTAAGGGCGCAAGCGTTTGGTCACAGCTGGTGTTTTGGTAAAGGCTCACATAAAAAGGGCGTGTTACCATCCTTACCATCACGCAGCACTTGCTTTCCTTCCCCGATAAGTTATGGTCTTATACTTTGCTTTCACTTCTAATATATTAATAAAAACTTTTGTAAGTAAGTCTTG